CTTCGTCTTCCTGCGTGTAAGGGCGTTGGGGGTAGCCTTGTGGGTTAAAGAGTTACCTCGTCACACCGAAGTTCAAGGCTCGATTCCTAACATGGGTACAATGTGTGAAGCCCATTACTGGTGTCCCCCGCCGTGATATTGCTGGAATATTGATAAAGCGGCGTAAAACTAAACACAGTCACTCTTATCGCGTGTGCCTTGTATGAGGCCAGTTAACACATTAATCACAATGCCTTAACAGGGATGATGACCATGCGTTATGCTGACAAAAATGTCCGAAAGAATTGTTACTTCTTACTGCTTTGGCCAGCAGACCGACTACTTGGTGTTGTGTAGGGCCGGGCCGGGTACTCGGGTACTCAAATCCGGGTCGGGTATAGCCGGAATCGAGTACTATTTCTAGGAATCGAGTATCCGGAAAAGGAGAAGGGCACTTAATAACTTGTCTTTTTCATTATTGACGTAACACACATTTGCATCATTGGTATTGTCCGATTAATGGAGGTCATTATTAACGATTGTATATATCTGAGCATGAGCAGTGAGAAGTCAAGTTACATGTACAGTAACAGCGGTAACGAAAGGTCCTGTGTTTTAACGAGGAATGCATGCAATGGTGTTACTCTCTATATTTGTTAAATAGACGTAAATTAAATAGCCTACGTCCAGTTTCAGTATCTCATTGCCATCCTTTCAAGGTTTGTATAAAACTCTCCGTGAACTCGTACTTGAATATTCAGAAAGTTGACAGAAGCGCTTTATTCCTTACATTTCCGGGTACTCGATTCCGATTCGGGTAAGTACATGCGGGTACTCCATTCCATTTTATCTTACCCGTCCCAGCCCTAGTGTTGTGGATAGAGCCTTCAGGAGAGCCGAAAGTCGGAGTTTCGAAGTTTCTCTAGGACGGTAGAGCGGAACAACCTGCAGCCATTACAGTGAAATACGCGTGTAACAGACAAACTTGTAAAGAACTGACGAATTTAAGGAATTATTTTTAGCCCCCTAAAACGTGTTAACACTTCGAATTTATCTGCCCCGCCGTGACCTTTCTGCAATTCCAGTAGGTCTCGCTGCCTGTATCGCAGTAGTACAAACTGTGTACTATAATAAAATATAAAGCAATTTGATTGTTGTTCTTTTAAACCAAGATGACAAATAATTTAGGCAACTGAAACTCACAACAGATGAATCTACACAATTAGAGGCGGGGTAGCCAAGTGGTTAAAGCGTTCGCTCGTCACGCCGATGACCCGGGTTCTATTCCCCACATGGGTACAATGTGTAAAGAAAAATTCTGGTGATATTATCATACAACCATACTAACCCCGACAGAGACAACGGGTAGCATTAACATTTGAGGTTATATGCAAAATACGTCCACCGATTAGAGAAATAGAGGATATCACCATTACATGATAGTAATTCATAAACACATGCTTATGCTATCGTCGATGATATAGTCGGAATGTGATATCGTATTATTATTGAATGGTTTTATTTGGGTTTATTTTGATGAAAGGCGTATTTGTTGTAGTGTAGGGAGTTGCATTGTCTATATTTGACAGGTGCTTGAAACAATCAGGACTGTGTGAAGATCAGTTGTTCGCTATATATAGTGAGTGAGTGAGTTTAAATAGCTGCAAGTTGTAATGTCCCAAAACATGACATCATCGCTTGAACACTTCAACATACAACATGGTACATCCTAAGAAAGCAAGACGTCACGACCTACCGTGACAGATTCATTGTGCAGGATCACCGTGCATTTCAAACTCATAGCAAACTAGCTCGGCAGTTGTATTATATACACAAAGAACTTAGTTAAGGACCCCCTGAAATATCTCGCGATTGAATGAGTCCCAATCTTTACCCTTTGGAGCATATCTGGGACATGATTGGTCGTCGTGTGAAACAAAGGGATCCTCCGTACCATTTGTAACTACTCGCCTCTTTCCGTGACCTACAGCCGGAATGATGCGAGTAGTTACGAAATCTCATACAGAACCTGGCCCAATTGGAAGCTGCTTTACACGAGGAATGGCGTAGGGGATCTGGACGCTGACATGGCCATGAGGACTGACTGACTGAGTTTTGGTTGTACGCCGCTTTTAGCAATATTTCAGCAACATCACGGCAGGGGACACCAGAAATGGGCTTTACACATTGTACCCATGTGGGTATTCGAACCCTGGTCTTCGGCGTAACGAGCCAACGCTTTAACCACTAGGCTACCCCACCGCCCCTGGCTATGAGGAGGAGAGTGTTGGCTGTCATACAGTCACATTGAGGTTACATTCGGTATTGACCTTGAAAGGTGTCAAAAAGCAAAATGACATTTTGAATGTTCACATTCACCACTAAATTTAACATTAAACATTCCAGGGACATACTTGTATGAAAATCAGTGTTCTTTTAAATGAGCAATACCATTATTATCATCATCATAAAATCAAAATGGATTCCAATCATGTTTTATGAGTCAAAGGATCATATGGGTCAGAAAAACCTTTTTCATCGTGGTCACCACGTTTTATGTACATGTTGAAAACCATTGCAAAAAATACAGGGGTGCTTAATTAAATGTATATTATAGCATGACAGTTACTTCACAAAGCATGACATCACGAACTACCACAGCAGCTTTATTATATAGTATAGCAGATCATTTATACAGCATAACACCACGAACTAGCAGAACAGCTATATCATTTAGCATGACAGTTCCTCTACAAAGCATGACATCAAGAACTAGCATACAGATTTAATATCTAGAATGGTAATTCATTTACAAAGCATGACATCACGAACTACCATAGCAGCTTTATTTATATAGTATAGCAGATCCTTTAAACAGCATAACACCAGGAACTAGCTCGCAGATTCAATACATATAATGATAATTCCTTTACAAAGCATGACATCACGAACTACCATAGCAGCTGTATTTATATAGTATAGCAGATCCTTCTACACAACATAACATCAGGGGAACTAGCTCGCAGATTCAATACATATATAATGATAATTCCTTTACAAAGCATGACATCACGAACTACCATAGCAGCTGTATTTATATAGTATAGCAGATGCTTTACACAACATAACATCAGGAACTAGCTCGCAGATTCAATACATATAATGATAATTCCTTTACAAAGCATGACATCACGAACTACCATAGCAGCTGTATTTATATAGTATAGCAGATCCTTTACACAACATAACATCAGGAACTAGCTCGCAGATTCAATACATATAATGATAATTCCTTTACAAAGCATGACATCACGAACTACCATAGCAGCTGTATTTATATAGTATAGCAGATCCTTTACACAACATAACATCAGGAACTAGCTCGCAGATTCAATACATTGAATGATAGCTTCTTTACAAAAGCATGACATCACGAACTAGCACAACAGCTATATTATTTAGAATGGTAGTTCGTCAACAAAGCATGACATCACGAACCAGCACACAGGTTCAACATGTAGACTGATAATTCATTTACAAAGCATGACATCACGAACTAGCACAAAAGCTATATCATGTAACACAGCAGATCATTTACAGTATAACATCAAGAACTAGCAGAACAGCCAATTATTTAGCATGACAGTTCCTTTACGAAGCATGACATCACGAACTAGTCACAAGAGCTTTACTATATAGTATAGCTGGTCATTGACAAAGCGTGACCTCACGAACTAGCACTCAGATTCAATATATAGAATGATACTTCATAATGATAGAATGATACTGACCTAACACGACAGCTTTATTATACAACATGAAACGTTCTTTACAAAACATGGTATCACGAACCAGCATAACAGCGTCAATGTACAGTCTCATGGTGTCATTCAAAAACATGTCCTTAAAATGGCATGACACCATGGTTGTTTCTTCACAAATAATTACATCATAACGAATAACATAGTTACAAGCCGAACGCTACCGACTCCTTTCGATCGGTTTCAACTTTGAAAGTTCTTTTCACACGGAGAGGCGGTGGGGTAACCTGGTGATTTAAGCGTGAGCTCGTCACGCCGAAGACAATGTGTACAATGTCTAAAGCCTATTTCTGGTGTCCCCGCCGTGATATTGCTGGAATATTGCTAAAAGCGGCGTAAAACCATACTCACTCTTTTCACACGTGATGCTATCGTCATCATGACAGCTACTTCACATAGCACGACGGTTCGCCTTGTAGCATGACATTATATAGCTTGATTACGTGAGCAATTCGTTCAAGTTACTTTCTCAGTTTATGGTTGGAGTTGGAGTCTGTTGTGGTTACTCCGTCACGTTTTACAATATCTGAGTGAGTTCATTGTCGCGCCCTTTGACCAACGACATCAAATACTTCCTGAATCCATTGTCTGATTTGAGGCCTTCAAAGACGCGAGAAAATGTTATACGTGTGTCAAAATACTGTGGTTCATAGTAGCAGTGGTGAATCTGAACGGCGGGCCACATTGGTTTGGTTGTGTTCAGCTCTCTCGCCGAGCCTATCAACTTCCGAGTCTGAGAATCCAGAACATGAATTGTTGCTCTTTGCATGTCCACTAGGAAGCCAAGTTCGATCTGAATGTGGCCGCCATGTTTGACTTTCTTGGGAAGAGTGTATCTATCCAGATGTTTTGTGCTGCTCAGGATGTCGATGATGACCTGCTCACGCATGTTGCTGTACCAGACGTTGACGCCGAACATGTTGTGTTGATACAGGACGCCAGGGTCTCGGAGTTGGTCGATGACGCCCTGTTCGCCGATGTAGACGTCAAAGATGTCGTAGAGACGAGCTTTCTCAATCTTAGCCGTGCGGACTATTTGCACGTCAGCTTTCACACCAAAAAGCCGATGTCGGTTTTGAAGAAACATCTGTTGCCCACGGCGCCGGTAACATTTGACAATTCCCTGTCATGGCGGATCGCCGGATCCTTGGTTGTCTGGTTCAGAAGAGCGCCCTCTTCCGTGATAGTGATGTCCTTGTGGCCTGTCTCGTGATCAAATGCTATAGACGGACCTACAACAATAGTGATGTGGTTGTTCAATATGAAATATGTATTTTACTTTTCAGTGGTCGATGATGTCAATATTCTAGACATTCAGACATGGCTGGAATTGATATCAATGATGTGTGTTGCTTTAGTGTGGACTATCTCAATACTATCGCCAATCACAAGAAGAAGTGCATTCTAAATTGTATTTTTTCAAATGTGGAAAATCGTCAAGTAATGATCTTCTCATTTCAGATTTTTGCAAGTATGCTAATTTACCTTGGTTCCCTACCTCACTATGATATTCATTAGGTTGTTTCATCACGCTTACTTCCTGGTCTCTGACAGTTATTGTTCCAGTATATATGCGAGTAAACATAAATTGTCCGTTTAACTACAGAGGTACATGAGTTCTCACTGTCACGAGTTATTAAAAACTATAAAATAAACTATAAAACACAAATGAATATTTCACTCAGTATTAGTTAAGTGCTGTCCAGTCTATAGATTCATATGTCAAGGTTCAGGGTGTCCTATCCTTTATTTGGTTATTGTTAATGAATCAGCTTTCGCAGCAGAAGAGAACCATTGTCTAATAAAACAACTTCATCAGAATATCATACAGTTATTTCTTTCATTGTTTACGAGCGAAGGCGTTTTAGTTGCAGATAGTACAAGGTGATGAGGTGAGGTGAAATTGGATTAAACGTCGTGCTTGAGAATATTTCGCTCATATGACGACGTGCATGCGTGTGTAATGTGTATGTGCGGCTGCTTGTACTAGCCAAGACTTAAGCTGGTTTTATAGTGCTAGCCCACTGAGATACCATGCCGCAGTGAAGCATGAATACCCAACTCAGACACATTATACTGACTCCAAGCCGACCAGTCCTTGTTGTACCCATTAATGCCGAGCACCAGGCAAGGACCAACAAGTACCATATTTTTAACGACTTTTGGTATGGCGCGGTCGGGGATCGAACCTCGCGACCTTCCGCTCTCCGGGCGGACGCTCTAACCACTACACCACGGAGGCGGTCGATAGTACAAGGGAACCCAAGAAGGGTATTGATGTATTAGAAAGGTTCTGTATTACTTACGGTTTAGTTATTAATTTGGAGCAAACAAAAGCTTCAAATGGTGACCCGAACCCTCAATAATATATGAATCGTATAAGGCCACTATTATGAGCAATTATTATCCCGATGCCTTAAAAGGTTTGATCGCCAGTGCCCACTGAGTGACCGAAATAGGATGGGGAAATATTTGGTATATATATGCCCGAATCATGAACATATACAGGTACCTACATCTTAGAATGCTTTTCTGTGTAGCGTCCTCCCATTGTAAGGCCTTGTTGCGGTCCTCTGAAAAGATAACATCAGTAACGAATTTATGAATTGAATTTTGCACTCAAAGCATCTTATTTCATTATCACAAAACATGATTATATATTACTAATAGTATTATTAAAGTCCATATTTTTACATGACTGTTGCGTTATATATTTGTGCTGAAACATTTCACGAAGCATAAATTATTAACCTCTCAGTTCTTCATATTTTTTCCTGTAGTAATTGGCGTCACGTGCGAGAGACGTCATCACGTCATGGTTGGCTTGAATCATGTCGATATGGAGCTGGTCAAGCTTGTCCTGTCGGTCTTGTTCCTATTGGTGAGTGAGTGAGTGAGTGATTATGCTTCTAAGTGAAATCCAATTTAAAATCGTATTTGACGTCTACAAAAACCATCTATAATACCATAAAACACATGAAATTAAAATAATTGAATTGAACTATGCAGATAACAATGAAATATATATACCTACACAACTACAATAAAAGCAACTGACGTTAAGTGCTACTTATATGGAAAGAGTGGGAAGCTTTAACATATAAGTGAGTGAGTTTAGTTTTAAGTCGCACTCAGCAATATTCCAGCTATATGGCGCCGGCCTGCAAATAATATAGTCTGGACCAGACAATCGAGTGAATCAACAGCATGAACATCGATCTACGCAATTGGGATAAGACGACATGTGTCAAACAAGTCAGCGAGCCTGATCACCCGAATCCGTTAGTCGCCCTTACAAGCATGGGTTGCTGAAGACCAATTCTAACCCGGATATTAACCTATAAACATCAGATGCGAGTGTAAAGTCGACTCAGTCTATGAAGATAAGTTGGTAGATAAACCCCAAAATATATACCGGAGGATCATTTTCACCACATTTAATCGAATCAACCCACTCTGTCGTTTTAAAATAACCTTATCATGACCAATGAGAACCCATTAGCGGACATTCCTTCTCATGTGATAAAGGGAAGTAGCTCTTAGCAGCCACTTGATGCGATGAACTGCCCACATACATGCATCATCATCACCATCATCATTGTTAGTGTTATTATTTGTAGTAGTACCTTAATAAGATCCATGAATATCCTACACCGACAGGTGCCGTCTAGGGTGTGCTTCTCATGTCTGTCAACCTCTCCCTTTTCAACCGTGTCTTCCTCCAGCTGTTTCATGCTCTCTGCATTCAAACAGAACAACGAGAGTACATAATCTCAAACAATATACTTTGTCTATCATTCCTTTGCCATTTATTCTGAGCGTGAATGACATATTCATTATTCATTTCAGCGAACCCACACTCTGGAGTTAATTTGCATATCACGTGACTCGATATTGTGAGTGAGTATGGTTTTACGCCGCTTATTCCAGCAATATCACGGCGGGGGACACCAGAAATGGGCTTCACACAATGTGCCCATGTGGAGAATAGAACCAGGGTCTTCGGCGTGACGAACGGACGCTTTAACCACTAGGCTACCCCACCGCCACTCTCTCGTTTGAAAACAAACGCGCTCATTCACCGATCGACCGTTAGAACATCTGAGCCTAATGAAGAAGCGTGAAGTAATTTTGTTGATTTGCTTGGATCTTTTGAAAAAGAATACTACTTTATCTTATCTAAAAGAGAAATTGGTTTCTATCACATGGTAGGCAACACCTAAATTTGGCAAAATACACATTGTAAATACACATTAACACAAATTACACAACGCCATTAAGATAAAGATACACGTATTTGTACCAAGCAGAGGACAATAATTATTATTATCTTACACAGATACCAAAAAGTAACATAATGTAAAAATACATAACTTTAATGTATCATTTAAGAACTTAAGGGATAAAAGACTTCAGGGTTATGTTAATCTTTAAAAATACGTTGCTTAAAACGTCTGCCGGAGGGGAGGAGACTCCACTCCTTGTTGCGGTAATGATAGCTGTCAGATGCAATTTTCTTTGCTACTCTTTCCTCACACAGTACACTTAGATAATGAAATTTAACATTGCATATTTTGCTAACTGAAAGGACACTTTTGCTTAATTTGTTTTGGTTTACCATAGACACACGTGCATACAATGCATGAAAACAGAAAGTTAAAATAAATTGAATAAAGCGGTCGTAAAATAAGGACAAAATATTAACACTGACATTGTAAGCTCGAAGTTAGCGTAAAAGGAAGATTCTTCGCTGGCCTGTTGTATAATTGCACTGAGTGTTTGAAGTCGAGGTAAGTTTTAGAGTCTCTAACACTTCTGAGATAGCTGTACTCATCAGCAGATTCATTATCAATACGCACATACTGTATTACTGTTCCCAGGGACTTAAAGTCTACAACCATCAGTTTGGTTTTCTTAACATTCATAGTCAGATGATCACTTTGCACCAGTCTCTAAACTCCTCAATCTCAAAGCGATAATGATCCTCTGAACTGTGTATTAGTCCCGTTAACACGGCGTCAAGGGCGAACTTAACTGCAAATGATCTCGTGGAGCCACAGACACAGTCGTTGTCATATAACGTCAACGTTAACAATACCGGTGATAAAGTACAACCTTGGGGAGCTCCTGTATGTAATCAATGATGATAACAATTTACAATTCGAATTGAATGGGACTTCAATTTTGTTGCTGATGCGTTATTTTTTAACTATCCTGCACATGCCTAACGTGAAAGTTTTGGAAGGTTTTGCCGAGCCCTTGAATTGTTGTAATCTTGATCGACCAACTTCTAAACAGTAGTCGTATGACACTCTTTGAAACCATGGTAACAGATCATGCAAAATTTCGACTGACTCTCAAAATATTTAAAATTCAGGTGGGAAAACCAGACGAAGGGATTAGGCAATTTGATGGTTACTGAATAATATCAGAGCTCTTGTAACAATTTATTATTTGGTACCTGTTTAACGTCTCACTTATGACACTCCATGGTGACGACCTGTAAACATGTGATTGTGGATCACACAAACCAGTGATTGATCTTGCGAACCACGTCACAGAGCCCAAGCCCCGGAATCTAATTCAAAATGTCCACGAAATGAACGAGCATGGGTTGACGTCGATTTTATCACAATACCCTACCCAATCTCGTGGGTTCCTTCGAGTGGTAAACTTTCGGGGCCAACATCACTTTCGCGTTTTACCCCCACAAACAAACCCCCCAGAAACGACACGCCGTTATACACAGTTCAAAGTGGTTTTAAATCCAATTCGCTCAAACTTTCAGGAATCACGATTCCCCCATTTCCTTCAGGAACACCAACTGCCTCGTATTACCTTCCAGTATTGATGACACAAAGGCAATGGTAACCCTAACTCATATTTTAAACATCACTGAAATCATTTATATAGGGAACATTATGGTGTAGTTTGATCACCAAGTAGAATAAATATATCAACGATGGAACAATCAGAGCAGTTATAGTTGTTACTACCTCCCAGTAAGTAAAATGAACATAAATATCACATTAAAAAACCGGCTGTATGTTAAACATTATTATCACCATTGGTATTGTTTACAAATATTATGTGCAGTTTTAAACGAAGGGTTCGTGTGATCCTGGCACAGACTGGTTGGGTCCATTGTCAGCTAAGGGCCACAGCCCCCTTCACAGTATCTGAGGCAATTGGACGCAGGAAGCGCTGTCAAGTCGAAACCCACCAACGAGGTTTTCGGAGGAACTGAAGACTCCCTAACATTGCAGCCTTCTGCATTACCCAGAGGGTACGAAGGATGTTGTTTCACGTCCCAATGCCAGTCATAAGATTTGGTAGGAAACAAACTTAATGCACCATGAGCAAAGGGGAATCGGTCAATTTGGTACAAGCGATGTCATTTCGTAGGCGAGGTCCGCATATTTGCATGCTTCTCCGATTTCGGGCCTATTGCATTAGTGCTGGCAAAAGGGGCAGAAATAACATATTTAATATTTTCATTGGCATTATAAAAAAAGGCTTAAAATAGTGACAGATTTCCTCTCTCTCATACTGACAGACAGACAAGCAGAAGTCTTTTTCAGTATTTCAAGCCACATGACCTAAAGCATTCGTGACCAACCCGCCGAATAGCGACTCGTGCCGCTCTGGAATGATTTCATATTGGCGCATGAACATCAGAACTACTTTAAACAGGAACGACAACTCTATTCTTGCTTGATTCCAATGGTACTTAATATCACCGAAGTAATCATACACTGTATTGCTGTTTATGGTTTAAGAATAACACCTTTTTGATACAACTAATAGAAGGAGAAAAACTTATGTGTTAAAGACTTATTCTGTCGTAATTATTACCAGATGTTCACCTTATATATATTTCCAATTATATTTCTAAATAGGGTTTGATAATCACAAATGAGATTTGTTTTATTACATATGTAAATCAAATTTATAATAGCTACATTAAATCCCAAAGCGGAAACTCAAAAATGACTTGAAAATATTTCTCAAACTGAACATTCGTGTAACCTTGCTGTCATACCTCAAGTGAAATTTTAAATGAATTCGCTGACCAAAAAAAGTCAAGACTAAAATGTTCCCAGAGATGTGAAATATATGCCCAATGTTGAAGATTCAACTTGATTAGTTACATGCAGATATATGTCTAATATTAATGTTTTGAAACTCGTAGCGATATTTAACTACAGTTCCTAAAATTGGTGGAAGCGCACGTACAATCTTCATAGCAAGTCCGCAGGATCGTCAGAAATACCCTCAGCTGGATTCTTATAAAAAAAACTTCACATTAGACAGCAAAATCCTGTTAGCTATGTTCTTTGTACTTTCAATATGGCGATAAATATTTTTCATGATTTTTTAAACAATGACATAATGCCATAAACGATGTAAGTACTCGGGATTATTTTTACCAAAGCACCGCAGTCATTTACGCGCGTTCTGATTGGTTTGTCGTATTTTCGCACATAACAAGCATCGATATGGGGACGAGTCTTCTTGGAGGTTACGGAAAGAGGCGAGTGGTGTCGAATGGACCTAAAGTACAGTTTTTTTACATTGTACATGTACAGTCACGTACTGTAACATCTTTGAAAACGCACCACTTATAAAAGTTCAGATTATTAAAAGCACGTGTAAGAAATTGATATTTTTTGAGTGGATAATAACAGATGGACGACTAACAAAAACAACAACACAGAAAAGACGCTCATTCATTGAAATGTTCCACAGTCAGAAAGGACCAAACACACGTGGGGTCAAATCGAAAAGTCAATATCGCGTGGGATCGCCATTTGCATTGAC